ATATGCTTCTCTTGTAACCCTTAATAGTATCTCTATGAAGGCCCTCTAGTGGTGCCCGGGAGTGAATATTGTGTGCGGGGGGCTGTAGAGTTCATAATCAGTAATTTAGTCCGTGTTGCATTTCCCCTGTACAATCCTTCGACATCTCTGCAAAGTCCATAACAATAGTTCCACGAAGACGCTCCGATGAGTGCCACTGCCCATGAGCAAATGTTTCTCGTGCAGAATGTCAAAGTTGCCCGTAATACTTACCTAATGCCTACTTGAGGGTTTAACTTCTGGCTATTGTTGACTCGTCAATACGTACAATCGTACCAAACCATGAGACACAACTGATACGATGCAAAAAGAGAGAGGATACTCGAAGATGGGACTCAATTTAACTGTTATCTCATCTGATTCAATCGCGATGTGCAAGAGCAATCATGTGTTTGGTATTCAGCACTGATCATAACTCGCGCTGTCTTCGGAGTGAATGATATATCTCACTAGAGTGCTATCATGCTTTGACCCGATACTGAGTGACTCCCTTGCAGTGAGACACAAAGTGTGACACCTTTGATAGATAAGATACTTAGTAAGTGCACAGGGCATGAACATGTTCTGGAGCATAAGATATAAGGCGTAATATCGTAATCGAACGAGAAACGCTATCCCATAACTATGTTTGCTCGATTGTATATTGCTCGTACGAATAATGCAAAATGACAAGTTTGCTAATAACGCTAACAGAGACGCAGTTTGAGCGAGTGAGCAAAACGCTAGTATATATTCCCGCAGGGCGTAAGTTACAAGAGAGCAAATAGCCAAAACATAAAAGTAGCGCAGCGTTGTCACATACCGGCAACTGCCAATTTGTATATTTGGTGCAGGAACATCACACAAGGGCAAACCAAGGGTACGAAGCGGGCGCTTCGTGAGCAACTTTTTGGGGTGCCAGTGATTGATTACTGGGAACTAAATAGCGGTGAGACTCACAACTCAAAGACATGAATCAACACTCTCTTGAGAAGAGGGCCAAAATGGAGTGTTGAAGATGAGGATCTACTGAGATGGAGGAGACTCGTGAGTGCTTACGGCCTCTCTCAGTCGCGCCATTTCAGCTCTGGCCCTACACGACGTGGAGATCAGATCTTCCGTGAGACCGCCTATGATATGCAAGCCATCAAGGGATTTTGCCCTCGACAGGGCAACATAAACGAGGCCCGGAGTCGGCGGCAGCTTCGCTGTCCCCGGCTGCCTAAGGTCGACTGCCACCGTCGAAAGGCTTTTTCCCTGCGCCTTGTGAATGGTACAACCAAATCCAAGGACGAGAGGCAGTTGGAGTCTCGTAACCGTCTTGCCACGCACCATGAACTTGACGCTGAGTGGTGATACTTGCACAGTCTGGTCGGAGTCGTCAAGGGCAATGCTCACGTACATGACATCGGAACTCAAGCATTCAACTGTTGTTTGAGCATCATACCGGCATTTTGTCAAGATCTTCACGAGTGTACCAGTTGCCCCGTTAACAATGCCTCTTTCAATGTCAACATTTCGTACGATCATTATCCTGCAGCCAGTCTTCAATGTAAGGACCTCCCGGACACCACCCGCTTGAACATCCGTGATTGTGATGCCAGGAGTAGTTTTAGCCACTATTTCGTATGCCACTCCACGGGTTTTGCTTAGCATTTCCGTATTATATGCGTCACAAGCCGCGTTAGTCCGGAAGAGTCGTAGACAATCAGGTGGAGCTGAGTTGACAATCCGCGAACGGAAAAGACGAAGATCATCTTCCGTTGACTCTCCGAGACGCAAACGATTCAGAGCCTCAGCGAAAGCTGATCCATTTTGCTGCCGCATAATCTCTCGAAGCTCGCGAATTTCGAAGAGGTCTTTCCACAAATGAACGGCCAACTGTTTCATACCAGCCAACCCTCTGAGTTGTCCGTAAACTGGCGTCTGCATGACCGGAGGAAGCTGGAACATATCGCCGACGCATATCACATTAACGCCACCGAACCAATCCTCACAGTCCCGAATCTGTTGCAGACGTTGGTGTACGGCCACCAGCCCCGGATAGCCGAGCATAGATACCTCGTCGATGATGAGGAACTCGACTCCCAGAAAGGACTCTCTGACTTCTTCCACCTTCGCCTGTGAAAGAGGTTCCATACTCTGATAGGTCCCGACTGTAAGCGGTAGATGGAAAGTAGTATGAAGTGTGGCCCCCTGGATCGCAAATGCTGCACAGCCGGTCGTTGCTGTGACGAGACAGCCAACTCTTTTCGGGAAATCCATGAGATGCAACTCCCTCTGAACAAGGTTCCTTATCACATGTATAACAAAACTCTTACCGACCCCCGCCCCTCCGGTCAAGAACCATTGTATCGGCTTGGGTCGTGCTGCTATTTCCTCAGTAGCAGCATAGATATTCCGTGCTTGCTGTCGAACTTCGTCGACTATTCGAGCTTGATCTTCGTTAAGCTTCTCAAGAAGAGCAGTGAAAGCCTCGTCAGTAATGATGAACTTGTGTTGATCGACGTCGACTACTACGTTGGCCCCGCCTTCAGAATCGTACACGTCCCGGCCGATATCAACTTGATCCTGATAAGCCTCATCGCGGTTGCGTTCAGAGGTGTCTTCCTCCGAGCAGGAAGACACTGGGTCCTCTGGGTCCTCATCGGCGACAGCTTGGTCTAGTTTAATCCCATATGGCTCATGTGATTCTATTTGCGCTAGAATTAACTCTCGGCTGGTATTGAATAGGTGAAGAATGGCGTCGGTGTCGTCCGATGGAGGGATGTCGGTGGGGTTCCTCCAAGGGTGGTAAAGGACTAGGAAGCTGACCTTGCGAGAGATTTCCGCTTCCGGGGATAGATTAGGTCCACTTGGCCTGTAAGTCCTTAAAACCGCAGGGGTTGTGCGCTTCCGGAAGTTCACATTACCACAACGAATCGCAGAATCGCTTGACGGCCTTCCCTTCTGAGAACGATCGTATCCGGTTACAAAGTCGGCGAGCGTTAAGGATTCCACATCAGTAGGACGACGCTGGTAGTGCTCTAGGATACCGTCATCGAAGATATCTTCAGAGTCTTCAGGTAATTCTGAGAGGATCGCCTTTGGCTTCAGAAAGCGGAATCGCTTGCCATCCTCCGCCGGATGCGTGGAAGGAACGAACTTGACCACAACACTGAGTTCTTTCAAGTTCATTGAGTTGCCCCCCAGTTGGTACATCACCTGAGAGCAGGAAAAAATATAAATGCACTCAATCATGTGTAAGTTGTCTTCACCTCTTGCCCAGACGCTTCCCTCGAGTTGAGGATCGCATTGCCAATACGACGCAACTTGCTGTAGTCATTGTCAATGTTCGAACCCTCCCGAGCTAGAGCCTCAATGGCGGGTGAATTGCCGCTCTCCTGCTTGGCGACATATTTCGTGACGTAATTAACAGCCTGGTGCATGGAACAACAGTACTGGAGGTCCATGTTCGCTCCCCAGGCGGCTAAGATGGTCGCATTGTACGCATTGATCCGTTCCTCCTCTGCCGCTCGGCGGAGATGTATGGTGATTTGAGGGGCACCTCTCCGAATGTCGTCACCATCCGAGCCTTCTGCCGTATTCTGAATAGTCGTTGTGGATTGAGGGCTCTTGGGGAACCCGAATCGGCACTCGTCGGGTTGTCTTCCATCCCTATTTTTCTCTTCTTACAATATCGTGACATGCACCGGTGAGTCTGCAATGGTATGAGGGCAGCAAGATCGGGACACTCTTCATCAGTCGCGAGATGGCACGTTGTGTAGGCGTCGACGTAATCCGCAATCGACGACGAGAGTTCAGAAGTCATCCCCTCAGACGAGACGAGGTCTAGCGCACAGATCTGGGGCTTGTTTTCAACATAGATTAAGCAGTGGTAATGTGGGGAGCCTCGCTGCTGGAACTCACAGCGTATGAAGTAGTTGGTAACTTTGCCAAGCGTGCCTTCTTTTCTCCCACCTATTCCAAGGACTACCCGCATGAAGGTATCAAGCCGCCTCTTGATGAAGCGTGCCGCAATCAGGAAGTGCTTAGCAAGTAACACCCTCTTTTCGACTTCGGATATCTCGCTGGGGTCAATATGTCCCCGGCCATCCTCCTGTTACAGGAGTCCTGTAGGAGCAAATTCACGAGTTCGGGCCAGCCAACTTCGTTTACAGACAGTGTCAAAAACCATTGCGGCGGGCCGAAGCGGCGAAGGATGGCCGTGAGATCAAGCCGAACCTTGCGCCAATAAGCGCCCGTACCTGAATATGAATCATGTTATGAGATTGTTGCGATGAAAGAACCAAACACTACCTTTAATCGAGTTCAGCCAGCTGAAAAGGTCCGGAACCTTGCTCACATCGGCTGCGAGAGCCCTCCCGGCGGTCAAGCGGCTGGACCCGCTATCCGCAGATGTAGTCTTCTTCATGGCTATTGCAGCGTTGTCTACCACTGCACGATACTCTCTTGCACTAAGCGCGTAAAAGGCATATTCATAGTCTTGCCTGAATCGTGGATCCTCGTGCAGCAGTCTACTCTCGAAGTATTGCTGAGCGCTGATTCGACAGTCGCGTGCATGTGTCAACCCCCATCGACCCATGGGAAGAAGGTGGGGGAACGAGAGAGTTTCGGAGTCATTATTTCTCAACAATGACACTGGCTGTTCATTTTCCGCGGGGGCCATGCACGCAACAGTGACCCTCGCAGTACCCCGGGCGAGTTGACGGATGACACTTTCCGGTGGGTTCTCATCAGGTATCATAACGGTAGGGACTGGGGCCACATTGTTAACAGAAACTTCATCCTCTGAGTCCGAATCGCATTGGCTGGAATCCATTTCACCCTCAATGGGCATCGAACTATCCGAGTCGTTCAGAGGGGAACCCTGAACGGTCCTGGCCCAGTTTTCGGCATTGCTCGTATCGGCTTCTCTATATAGGGGGTTGTTATCCTTTAACCACTGCAAAGCCTCGAGAACTCGCTGAGGACGGACACGTTCGAACATGAAGCTGGTTCGAAACTTCAGCCTCTTCTTCAATTTTAGATATATTATTCCAGCATCGTCTAGTGACCTAGGAAGGCTCTGCACGGCCTCCTGTACTGACCTGTGATCCACAGGCACATTAACAACATTTCCATAAACTTTCGGCTGAACTCGTTCCCCCGTCTTCTCTCTGGCAACCACATTCAACTGCATAAAGGCGTATCTCTGGCAAAGGAGCCTCCGTTCGAGATTGTTGAGACGAGCCAAGCAATCTGGAATTGGGTCCACTCCGAGAGAGTTGGCTTGATTCAGTGGGGGGCGAGTATTTTTCTTGATGTAGCCGTTTGCAGTTGTACAAACGAACCCTGTTGG